GGGTACGCCCTAATGGACTTTAAGATTGAGGGTGTTGATATTAACCAGAAGGGTGTTTTTGTAGTGACTGATGAATGTTCTACTACCCCCCTTTGTCATTGGCATGAATGTAATTAGACCCTGTTGGGATGTAGTCTTCTGCAACCCGGGAAGCCTTTGTCTTTTTGCTGCCAGAGCCCGAGGTTCAACGGGCATGGCGGGAGGCTTTTTCTCTTGCCGGAGGATAACTGTTGCCACAGAGGACGACTTCAAAGGATATGTCTGGCCAGCTCAGCGACGAGGGGTTAAGATCCGGCAAGAAGCGAGGTCTGGGGACGGAGAGCTCGAGCAGGACCAGCTGGGAGAGACTATTGTGGCCTGGGGAAGCCTTGGAGGAGCCCGACACTGTTTCAGTGGCCCGCACCCTCGCTGTCGTCAGAAATGGTAGGCTCCCTGTTCGGCTGAAAAATTTGAATAACTTTCCAGTTACTTTAGGGCGCTACCGGAAAATTGGCCGCCTCTATCAGGTTGATGACGTGGATGTCCATGGAGGTCGTGATGTCGGCCTCACTGTTGATGACGGCGGTGTGGTGCAGGTTGGACTGGTGGAAGCTGTGGATTCCTTGGAGGAGAGCCGAAGCTTCAGCCTACAGAGACTGGTGGAACAACCAGTTTTAACGCCTGCTGAGGCCAGTAAGTTGGCCACCTTATTACAAAAATGGGAGAAAGTGTTTTCTAAACATGATGAGGACTTCGGTCGGACGGATGCCGTCAAGCACACCATTCCGACGGGAGATGCATGCCCCACAAGGGAGAGATTCAGACCACTGCCACCACTCATGTATAAAGAAATGAGGTCATTATTAGCGGACATGTTGGACAAAGGTGTGATAACTGAAAGTTCCAGCCCCTGGGCCGCACCTATTGTCATGGTCAAGAAAAAAGATGGGAGCTGGAGGTTCTGTGTCGATTACAGAAAACTGAACTCTGTTACTCATAAAGATGCCTTCCCTCTCCCTAGGATTGAAGAGACTCTGACCTCCCTCTCCAAGGCAGAGTGGTTTTCCACCTTAGATTTGGCCAGTGGATATTGGCAAGTCGAGGTTGATCCTAAGGATAGAGAAAAGACTGCCTTTACTACACCTTTGGGCCTTTTTGAATTTCAGCGCATGCCATTCGGCCTCTGCAATGCACCTGCAACATTTCAGAGATTGATGCAACAATGCTTAAGTGGTCAGATCGCTGAGTCTCTGCTTGTATACTTGGATGATATAATTGTATATTCACCTGATTTTGATACCCACCTACAGCACTTGGAAGAAGTCTTCATGTGTTTGTGGAAGCATGGCCTGAAGTTGAGACCTGACAAGTGTAACCTGCTTCAGAAAGAGGTGAGATTCCTGGGTCATGTGGTCAATCAGAGGGGAGTTATGCCTGATCCAGAGAAGGTGACTGCAGTTACAGAGTGGAATGCCCCAAAGACTGTTAAGGAAGTATGGGCGTTTTTGGGCCTGGCAGGCTACTATAGACGTTTCATCCAGGGGTTCTCTAAGATCGCATACCCACTTAATTCTCTGTTAACAGGCATCCCTACTGACAAGAAGCATGGTGCAAAATTAATTGATTGGACATTAGAATGTCAAATTGCATTTGACAAACTGAAGGAGGCGTTAACTCAAGCACCAATATTGGCCTATGCAGACTACACCCAGCCCTTTAGGTTGTACACTGATGCCAGCAATTATGGATTGGGTGCAGTACTGGCACAAAATCAAGAAGGAGAAGAGCGAGTAATCGCTTATGCTAGTCGTAGTTTACACCCTACCGAGAGAAATGATGCAAACTATAGCTCATTTAAATTGGAGCTTTTGGCACTGAAATGGGCAATTACTGAAAAATTTAAGGACTATTTGACTGGTGCCAAGTTCACAGTATTTACGGACAATAACCCAGTTGCCCACCTTCAAACTGCCAAACTAGGGGCAGTGGAACAAAGATGGGTTGCTCAGCTGGCCTCATTTGATTTTGAGGTAAAGTACCGAGCGGAAAAAGAGAATGTTAACGCAGATGCATTGTCTAGATTCCCCAAAACTTCCATCAACAGTGGCTGTGCTGTGGCGGCTTTAACAGAGGCGGATACAGAAGACGTGGCTTTACTGAAGTGGGGTGAAGATTGGCAGGCTCTACAATCGGCAGACCCAGACATACATCAGGTACGAGTGTATGTGGAAGAAGGGAGAACCCCAAATACGACTGAGCAGGCAACTCTAAGTGAACCAGCAAAAAAGTTGTTAAAACACTGGAAAAGACTCTGTATACACAAAAGGATTCTCTGTAGACGTGTTTTGACTCATATGTATGTGAGCCCCGTTTTCAGATTGTGTGCCCAGATCTTAAGCGTCAGGATGTCTGGGAGAAATGTCATGAAGCTACAGCCCACGCAGGAGTGGAGAAGACCCTCGCTCACCTAAGGCGCCATTTCTTTTGGCCAAGCATGGAAAAGGGGGTACAGTGTTTCCAGAATGGGTGTGTTGTCTGTAGTTTACAAAAAGACCGTGTAGAACCTCGAGCACCTCTTAAGCCCATAGAAGTGTCCTACCCGTTAGAGGTAGTAGCTCTTGATTTCCTTTCCTTGCGTCGGCCGAGCGACACTTATCAAAGTATTCTAGTAATGACTGATATGTTCACTCGTTATTCATGGGCTGTTCCTACACGGATCAAACTGCGCAAACTACTGTTCGTGCAATTTGGTCTCATGTTATCCAACAATTTGGTTGCCCAGTGCGTTTCCATTCGGATCAGGGACCAAATTTTGAATCGGAACTTATGAAAGAGCTATGCAGTTTGTATGGCATTTCTAAAAGTCGCACTACCCCCTATCATCCAGCAGGTAATGGGAGAGTAGAAAGGATGAACCAGACGTTATTAAATATGCTTCGCACACTTGAGGTTGAAAAACAGAGTAGGTGGCCAGAGCATTTGCCAGAGTTATTACATGCTTATAACAATGTTATCCATAGCGCTACAGGGTTTACGCCATCTTACCTTATGTTTGGGCGTCATCTGAGGCCGAGAGGCTCAATTTTTCTGTATACAAAATAACCTGCAGGATTGTGGACAGAGGCGCAACAAACTGATAAAAGGGATACAATAATTTATTTTAAAAACAACTAGTTAAAAAGGAAACATTTGCTGAAGAAGGATCGTTATACAAGTCCATTAAAAAAAAGTCTTAACTGGCCCACAACAGGGGGAAGAGGAAGGGGCGCGGTCCGCTGCTGCTCACACGTCCAGCCGGGTCCAAACAATCCTCCAGTCCACACGGACCTCAGTGAGCGCTAGCCAACGGCTCCGTTCAGGGGAACACGGTCCTTACTGCTTCTGTACGTCCAGCTTGATCTCCGGTTCTCAGCCCAGCAGTTCCACTTCCTTAGCCGGCCCCCCGCTCCTCTGCCGCGACCAGATTAGCAGTCCTCAGGGCCGGTCCCTCCTGTAGCCAACGCCTGAAGCCAGTCCGAGCCGTCTGCCGCTCCTTCACGCCATCACAGTCCCAATGGCCTTTTTACTCCTCCTGATCTGTAAACAACTTGATGAAGATGCGGATCAGCTGTGTTGCTGCCGTGGGGCGCATGCGGCACGTGACCAACAACCAATCAAAACATGCAAAAACAAAACATTTAATCCAAAATAAACTAAGAAAATAACTTCAAAATATACAATCCAAAACAATATCAAAATCTAACTCAAAGGAAAAACAAGGTCACCTTGCCACATATCCATTGTAACCTGTTGAATATGTCTCCAGAAAGACATCCACACAATGTTGTACATTCAGTTCCCTCCTGTTTATCTGAACCTCAGAAGAGCTGAGGTTCTGAATGGAGTCATTCTGTAATTTTATGTTAAAAATAATGCTTTACGAGGTTTTCTCTATGTGACACTTTATAGACCAGTCAAACAGTGTTTTTATTTTCTACTTCAATGATTTAATTGTGATGTAAAAATCTGAATAAATTGAATTTATTTGTGAAATGAAGCAGGTTCTAATTATTTAATCTTTCCTCCAGCAACCATTTATATAAAACCACATAATTTAAATAGTTTATTTTGGTGTTTACTGTCATTTTTATTTCTTTTTTTTCTTGGCAAACACAAAGGACTTTAGTAATAACAATATATTCATATGTTAATGTAGAAATAACATTAACATATGAATATGTTAATGTTATTATATGAACCATATGAACCATCATCCAATCAATAGCCTACATGATTCTCATGCACATTGAGTAACAATCTGCAAACATTACCACCAAACGCGAATACTTCACTTTAAAAAAATAAACTGGACAAGCTGTGAGTGCAGAAGTATGGGGGGATTTTTCTGCCATAATTCAAGAGCACATTTTCAGTGTGAAAGCGGACTTACATATCTTTTAATACTTTTGCTTAAATTTTTATTTTGAAAGCAGGACTTTATATCTTTCTTCTCAAAACTGGTACAGGTGGAAAATTACAGCTGCCACTATATAAACACAATTTTGAAAACTAATAATATGTACGATGGAATCATATGAATAGATATAACTGCATTATCATCAATATATATGATTTCATCATGTATTTTTATTAATTTTCAAGATAGTGTTTATGCAGTAGTGGCTGTAATTTTCCACCTGTATTGGCTTGGCGTGGTTGTGTAGGCTCCAAGTGTGAATACCAAGCACATCTGGAGCTTGGGAGCAAACAGGAACCAGTGACACTCTAATCAGGATTCCGCATTCCATTTCAAAAATATGTAGTTGCGTCCATGCATGGAGCTCTTCCATCTTAGATGAGCAGCCTCTTTAAATTTACTCAGTGGTAACATTTCAGGGTTACCAGAGATGGTTCAGTTCAAAGAGCTTCCTTGTTCTCCCTCCCTCTGGGTTTCAACCGTCATGATGGGAGGATCCAGAGACACTCCCTTCAGTTACCTAATATTTTACACCTCAGCTCAGAGCAGTCTCTGTTGCAGAGAAGTGAAACTCACACAGTCGATGTTATTGAGAGCTGAAATGGAGCAGAAAGATCAACTCACCCACTGCTATGCTGGACCTGAAGATGTGGCCTGTGATGTCTGCACTGGGAGGAAAAGGAAAGCTGCCAAGTCCTGTCTGGTTTGTTTGGTTTCTTATTGTGAGAAACATCTCCAACCTCACTATGGTTCTCCATCATTTAAAAATCACAAGCTAGTGAATCCTTCCAAGAACCTCCAGGAGAACATCTGCTCTCGTCATGATGAGGTGATGAAGATCTTCTGTCGTACTGATCAGCAGAGTATCTGTTATCTCTGCACTATGGAGGAACATAAAGGCCATGAAACAGTCCCAGCTGCAGCAGAAAGAACTGAGAAGCAGAAGAAGCTCCAGGAGAGTCAACAACAAATCCATCAGAGAATCCAGGACCAAGAGAAAGATGTGAAGCTGCTTCAACGAGAGGTGGAGGCCATCAATGTCTCTGCTGATAAAGCAGTGGAGGACAGTGAGAAGATCTTCACTGAGCTGATCCGTCTCCTCCAGGAAAGAAGCTCTGATGTGAAGCAGCAGATCAGATCCCAGCAGGAAACTGAAGTGAGTCGAGTCAAAGATGTTCAGGAGAAGCTGCAGCAGGAGATCACTGAGCTGAAGAGGAAAGACGCTGAGCTGGAGCAGTTCTCACACACAGAGGATCACACCCAGTTTCTCCTCAACTACCCCTCACTGCCAGCACTCAGTGAGTCTACAGGATCATCCAGCATCATTGTTCGTCCTCTGAGACACTTTAAGGACATAACAGAAGCTGTGTCAGAGCTCAGAGACAAACTACAGGACGTCCTGAGAGACTCATGGACAAACATAGCTGAAATTTATGTTTTAAAGTCAGAACCAGAACCAAAGACCAGAGATGAATTCTTAATATATTCAGAACAAATCACGCTGGATCCAAACACAGCACACAGAAATATGTTATTATCTGAGGGGAACAGAATAGCAACAGGAACGAAGCAAAAACAGTCTTATCCTGATCATCCAGATAGATTCACTGGTTATTGTCAGGTTTTGAGCAGAGAGAATCTGATTGAACGTTGTTACTGGGAGGTGGAAATGAGAGGAGAGGGAGTTTGTGTAGCAGTTTCATACAAGAACATCAGCAGAGCAGGAAGTTCAATGGATGCTATACTGGGATTTAATGATAAATCATGGTCGTTATATTTTGACAAATTCCATTACAAATTTTGGCACGACCGCATTGAAACTCCAGTACCAGGTCCAGTTTCCTCCAGAGTGGGAGTGTATCTGGACCACAGAGCAGGTATTCTGTGTTTCTACAGCGTCTCTAAAACCATGACTCTGATCCACAGAGTCCAGACCAGATTCACTGAGCCTCTACTTGCTGGCATTGGACTTTCTGAAGGATCATCTGCTGAGTTCATTAATCCTAAACAGTTAGCAGTGATTTGAAGTCTATTTGGTTAAAATTTGTAGTTTTGCTTCAGTTTCTTTCAGCTCCATCACTGGATGGTGAGATTGTTATTATACATTGTTCAGAGGTCAGCTGTCTTTATGGAGCTACTTTGTCATTGTGTCTGTTGTTTCGTTGATGTTGGAGTTTGTTTGGGTGCTGACACTTCCTGTTTCCATCATCATTAAAATGATTGCATTCCCATTTGTTGCTTTATCAGACTAAATGCTGCAGTTAAAATCCATGTACAGATCAGCTGATGAAAATTGTAATTATCATTCAAGACATTGTCATTATTTCATTGGACAAAGATCAGATCTTGGATCAAGATTGTGGATTTGCAACATTTATTTTGTGAGGACAAGTGATTAACTCCCAAATATGTTTTTATACCCAATAATCTGCGGACATTAATGTTTCATTAGTTTGAAACTTTTAAAAACTCTGGAAATCCATGAAAACATTTGAAGATTTATTGTAATGGGATGTTAGTTTTCTTTGAGTCATATTTAGAATTTTTTTATTCATACATTTTAATCTCTTTTTTACTCACGCATTGAGGTTTAAAATTAAAATTTATCTTTGGACCTAAAGAGGAACATTCAGAAGTCAACATGACATTTCAGTTGTTACAGCTTAAAGCTTGAAATCTGGACTCTGACCTGAACATTCAGAGCCACATAAAGACAATTACAAACTCAGCCTTCTATCACATGAGGAACATTTCCAGAATTAAAGCTGCAACATGTAACTTTTATCAAAAAATTATTTTTACCATGATGTGACAATATAGTATGAGACCGATATGTGAAAAAAATTTAGCTGCTCTGGCAGTGATTATCTGCTAGCAGAGAAACATTTTATTCCAAAGTTTCCTAAAGATGTCAACAAGGGAAGACTTCTCCATCTGGACTAACATGGTGGCCTAGAATCTGACCCACAGCAGGAGAATTAATCACACATTCAATGATCACATCGCAATTGTGCTGCAATAACAAGTTGTGTCCATTAACACGTGCTAGAACTGAACATTTTGAGTCTTTTACCAACAATTTTGGTATAACTGGACTTGTACTACAAAATTGGTCCAAGGAAAAAACCATGGGAGCAAGAAATAATGATCTTGCTTAGCAGTTACACAGCAAATGATGTGACGTCATAGGCAAGAAAATGTAACAATAGAAAAAAATGAACAGACTGACAAATGAAAATGTAAAAGAATATTAAGATTTATACATGGTACCGAGAGAGAATACATTAAAAAAAAATTTGCACTCCTATACACCCAAAGGTACACAGAAAATTAAAGGACTAAAAAGTGGATTTTGCACATTATGGCCTCCTTAAAATATTTGTTAGTTTATAAATCAGTGATTTATTTTAGCCCCACAGTACATTCAAAATCTGTTGTTGTATCACTCTTCCAGATCTCTCACGTCTTCTGGTTCTGGCTGGTCTTCTGGCTCAAGACAAATTTAAAATACATCAAAGGATTAGCTAGAGAGAGATTCAAGCTTATGAACAAGGGATGTTGGGTAATGATCCTATTACCTACTGTTGATTGTGGTGTTACTTCCAAGTTCCTGTCAATAAAGGTGGTTTAAATATTGTCCAACACATGATGCTCATTGAACCTTACAATGGAAGTACTTATTGCATATCAACCAGAAGAAAGTTTTTAACTGCTTACAGTGGAGTTTCTGTGCTGCTCTGCAGAATTTTGCATAAATGATTCACTTTCTCATTCTACCCACCTTGTTTGACATCAACCTATCAGAACAAAGTAAGATGACTAATCGCTGATGAACATCAACAGCATGACAGTGGCGTTTTAGCACTGTTGCTGAACAACAAGATCATGAATTGTAATACCACCCTGACGTCTTTCTATATAGAGTTTCTAGGTTATCGCTGTGTGTTGGTTCTTTCTGGGCGCTCCAGCTAACATGACTGTTATGTTAGCTGGTTAATTCTTGGTTGTCGGTGCTACATAACGCTGATAGGCACCAGCTCCCCTGACATACTGTGAGGATGAACAGGTAGACAATGAAAGCCATTTTTAATACATTCCCATGAGTTACATTTTCCAGCTTGTGTTAAAACACTTTTTGCCAGTTTCAGAAAACACTGGTGAATCAGCAGCAGAGAGGTGGGTTAGATTACAGCCAACAGTTTCTGCTCTCCAGTTGCCTCAGATACTTTCAACATTCCTGTCTGAACTTGTACTGATTTGTAACAAGGAACAAGTTTGCACTTTAATTTATAGCTTATTCATCTTGTAAGCTATACTCGAATGTAGTTCACATTTAGATACATTTAATTTACATCAAATTTTGATATAAAGATTTTTTTATTTAAAAAGTACTGGGATGGAAAAAGAGCATGTTTATTTAGGTGATTTAAAGAACCCATTTAGTTTGTTCAGAAGTGCATTTCTGAACCACAAACATTCACTGCAGGAACATGTTCATAATGTCATTACTCCCACAGTTCTGCAGTTTTGACAGGAAACGTCTCGGGCAGGTTTAAAGTTGTTCTGGGTGGAATGGTAAAGGCTTTTTCTAGTCATAGTGAAGGTTTATGTGCAAAGCCATGGGAAGTAAAGGTGAGGAGTGTCAGATTCTCTACATAAAGGCTAAAATATCAATGAATAAAGTCCAACTGAGGTTAATGTCACTCAGAGATACTATCACATTGTTATTGAGCCCTTTAGCCTACAAATATACAGTGGATTGCAGAAGTAATCAAACCCCTTGAACTTTATTATATGTTGTTTTAGTACAACCACAAACAAATATATTTCATTGGACTTTAATATGAAAGACCAACACAAAGTTGTATGCAGTTGGGAAGTAGAATGAAAAATATACATGATTCAAAACATTTTTACAAATAAATTGAAAAGTGCAGTCCCCTTTTCTCTGAGAAAAGGTCAAAGTATATTAATGCTTTTGGAAGCCACTGTACTGATGTGATGGTTCAGAAAACTTTCAGGTGTCATGATGATGACACCAACCAGAACCAGAACCAAAGGTTCTGGTTCTCCTCTGCTGCAGATTATCAGGAAGCAGAAAGAAATAACTCTGCTGATTTGTTTCTGTCATGATGGTCTCTTCTTCAGAACTGGAGCCAGAAATATATTTCTGTGTGTAAATATTTGGTTTACACAAATTTTTACAAGAACAATAATGTTATAAAACCAATTTTTATGACATTTTAATACATAATATTCATAATTCTTTTTTTAAAAAGTGAGATAAAGTTATAGTCATAAATTAAAGCGCATCCCATTGACGACAAGTTTCACTCAATCATCTTTACTATCCCCAAGGGCCAATGTTGTGCAACAGAAAAAGAAAAGAAAAATAAGTTCATCAATCCGTGTACCAAACAATCATGGCATAAAAAATCAAAAACATAATTTGAGGTCATTAAGAAACTTTAAAACTGTAAAAACATAATTTTTGAATCTATATTTTAATATGTGTGTGTGTGTTTTTCCTTTTCTTGGTGAAAATGCATCTATAAGAAAAAGCAAAACAATATATATATTTATTTAAATAATTTACACTCTTGACTATACCACACACAGAGTACATTGCAGGGGTAACAAAATCAATAATAATAATAAAAATAATCTCGTTTCATTGGCGACATGTCCACGGAGCTAAATGCATCTTGCTGACCGTCTGTGGAAGAGCTATGGACAAGATGCTTTAGAGCGTGTTGTTCCGAAAAACATTCAAAACCTTTTTTGCTAAGTGCCCTGGTTCTAGGTTTTTTTTCTCTGTAATGGCTTTGTTAGCAGTGGGGGTTGCTGGACATCAACCATAAATTGTCCGATATTATTAACCATTTAACTGTCATCCCCAAATTGGCATGGGCCAGTATAACAACCTCAGGTAGAAATATCACAATTCTGTGATGTCACAGTATAAATACAGCTCTAAGATATTTATATTACATTTTCTTTAGCATGCTTTGATGGGACTGCATCAGAAATTTGCCTCATTAATGTTTTCTGTACTAAAAGAAATGGGACATATGTGAATTTGACTGCAATTTTAAACTGGCATATCATCATTATAGTCATAAACTCTATTGATCATATATTTGAATGAATAGCACAGATTGTCTGAGTTCTTAATTCCATGTGAATTGGCTATGTTAGTAATTTGTAAAATAAAATTCCCCTTAAAGTTACCTACAATATTTGTTTAAGATGGATTTTTATGTTTTTTGCGATTGAAACACTTTGAGCTGTCATATTGTTGAAATGTGTTATACAATAAGTTTGGTTGATAGACGAGAAACAGCAAGTTAACGACATATTCGTGAGATGTGAGTAAATTTCATGTAATGATTTGTTCCACACATGACGACTGTAGTCCTGTGAACAAGACCGTTAACTTGTAAATGAAAGATAGTAATGGCTGCCTGACCTCATTTTTAGTCAGATGTGGTGCTGGAGGTACAAAGGTCGTTTTTGATTATATTAAATGTTTAACTACAGGTGTGGCTTTACAAGCTGCTGTTTGCCTAAACTTTCTTTATGTAGTAGTTGATCTAACTGGGTGTGCAGTTTGTTTGCTTTTAACTTCAAATCAAATTAAAAGCTTTTCGTTGGAGGGAAATTTTTTTAATGAATAAACTTTGAAACTGTGTATGGGTTTGCTTATTGTGTTTTGCAGTGTAGTCCACTACATGGACAGTGGTAGAAAATTTTATCAAATGGACAGTAGAAACATGACCACAATTTCACAATAACTCAACTTTCACCATGCAGTTAAATAACATGAAGGGTTAAATTATTTTAATGTCAAATGTCTGTTCTGTAATTTGCAAAAATATGCAGTAATTAATGAATAAATAAGCATCAACAGCTAACTCTAAATCAAACTCTAAACACCAAACTACAATTAAACTTCAACAGTCTGGCTAAATCCTATTCAAACTGAAGAAAGTTGACTAATAACACCAAGCAGCTGAGGCCTTTCCGCCAAAAAGAAATAAAACACACTGGCATTGGATGAAGTAATCGCAGACGGTAACATTTAATTGAGAAATCTAAAAGACTTCAAATTCTGATAGAACCACAAAATCAAGCAATCTCCCTGAATTATCTGACAATCAGGCATTCAGCAAAAATCGTATAAATATGAATGTTTAGATCTGATTCAGCAGCAGTACTTCTGCTGCTCCCAGTACAACACCATGTCAGAATGGCAATAACGATTATTGAATATTCCTCACTTTCAGTGCCAATAAGGGCAGAAGTTTCTATATTTGGGACAATATAAATAAAATATTTGTGACCCATAATCTTTTGTTTATGTACATGATTTGCACAAGACTTATGTAGCTTTTTGACTGGTTAATTTTTACACTAGGATAAAAACAGAATGCTATGATAGTTTTCATAGAATACGATTTTGTCACTTTTAACCTGAGCTCAACGGCCTTTTAAAATTCCCTCAATTGTAAAAACATTTTAATT